CCTCAGGGCTCGCCATGGCGCCGGGCCCCGTCCTGCCCCTCAGGGCGCCAGGCCTGGCGTTGCCCGGCCCTACCCTGTCCTCAGCGCGCCTTGACGCGGGAGGCACGTCCCCTGTCCTGCCCTGGGTGGCTTCGCACCGCAGCCTACACCTGTCTTTCCTCAGGCAGCGCCTGCTCCATCCCCTTCCAGGGGGTCGCGGCCTCTCCAGCAGCGCTGACAGCAGTTTGCACGGCAGCCAGAGCAGCTCCAAGGAGCCTCGATACCCCAGCGACCCCGCTGGGATGGAGCCTTCGCTGGGAAACGAGCTGCAGTGCCTCTCGGGAGGTGTCAGCCCTAAAAGGAGGCTGAATTTGGTGCAGCTGGAGAGGAGCTGTCTGTTGGGTGTGGGGAGCACTTGGGCTGGAGGGCACGAAGCGTGTGGCACAGAGCCTGGCTGCCCTCCCGGGTGCTGTGGTGACAGAGCGAGCGGTCAGACTTGTTCCTGGAAATCAAAATGATAAACTATTAGGCTATCTCAGAGATTACTCATGAAGAACCCCCTGCAGCTGCTTTGAAAGATAATGTATCAGCAGAGTGCCTCTTTAGCAAAATGTTCTTGTAGGGGGTGTGGGTGTTTTGACCTCATGTGCTTAAACCTGAAATTCTGTTAGGCTGGGAATTAGACAAGAAAGGGAGGAGAGAATGAGGATGCTTCCAGGGACAAAGCTCATCGTCCTGCCCCGGTTTCTTGCTGTACAGGACAATTTCAGACTTTAAAGTAATTAGAAACCTTTCCTGCAGATCATTTGGAGGATGGGAAGGGCTTGAATGTGGCATTTACACTGCCTCTAAAAAGAGTCTGTCAGTTCTTTGACTTGATAAGCTTTATCTTGTAGTTGTCTGTGGAACAGACTGTTAGCCCTGCCTGCCATTGGTATGGGAAGGGCGCATCTTTTGTCCAGTTTAATCCCTTACAGTCTCCAAAATAGTTTGCCCTTCCTGCCTTTCTTAACGTGTGAAAGTGAGTGTACATGTGTTGGGAGAAAATGAAACTTGAATTGTGCTTTTTATTTAAGGCTTTCAACAAAGAAGACAGCTCTGTGTTCCACAAACCTCTTGCTCTGGGTCGCAGTGCTCTCTGCGAGCACGCTGAGGAAAGCGAAATTCATGTCTGAGGACCAGCCATCGGGGCAGGATGGAGAGCTTGGGCCTGCAAGCAGTGACCCTTAGTGACGGGACGACAGCCTACATCCAGCAGGCTGTCAGAGGTAACGGCTCCTTTGGGCTGCCAAGTCTGAAAGTCTCTCGGTGAAGTTAAAGTCAGACTTCTCAGAAGCGCCCTCACGGCACGTGAACTGACAGACATCTTGTACGGCCGCTCGGTACAGGAGGCTGGCAGCTGCCTGCTTGGTTTGCACAGAAGAGTGACCCAGCAGAAATAAAACATGCCTCTGGTTTGGAAATAAGGCTTTGGAGATGGGAGAGCTGTCACTGTAGGAAATAAAGGTTCTGTTCAGTCTGGAGTGAGCCCTCTTCTCTCCAGGGTAACCGGGGAAATGGGAGTTCACGCTATGGCCTGCAGGACTCTCTTCAACCAAAACTTCCCCCGAAGCTAAGCAGGATGTTTTACTTCAGGAGATGCATAGAATTTGGTTCACAGTACTGCTTCTCTCACTCAAAGGGGTGCTGAGCTTGGTGTGGGTTAACTGGAGCGATATTGCTGCCAAATGCAACGCCTGCCCTTGTTTTGGTGTTTGGGAGGTGCCCCTTCCTTCACCACCCGCTGTTCCTGAGAAGAGGAACACGCTGTTTCCCAGCCTGTGGAACAGGACGGTGAAGCTGCGAGGCTTCAGGTCCTGGGACTGCTGTCTTGCTTTCTTTTCTGGGTGAACTCGCTGCGAGTTTATTACGTGGGTGGAGTTGGACCATCTTGAAAACCACTCAGTTTTATGACACCCCCTCCCCCCTTCCAACAGTTGTGCACCAGGTGGAAGCAACCTGGATTCCTCCTGTTCAGGTGGGGCAGAGCAATGTCCTCTCTGCATCCAAATAATTCAGTAGCTACGACATTATTATAGGGTCGCTCAGAGTTATGTTATTTTAAGAGTCCTGTCTTCACAACCCATCAAGGGTAGTAACACTTTAGGTCCCTTTTAGGTCCTGTAATTTCTTTCCAAGACTTGATCCTCCACCAAAGGACAAAAACATAAACCTTCAGGCCCCTGCTGATGCTGTTAAAAGCTCCCAGTTGAATTTTTCTCCAGCACAAGTGTAATTGCTTTCTACTTTAGATCCAAAACGCTTAGCACACACCATTCTTTCTCCTTCTTGGCTTACAGGGCTGTGAAGGGCAGCTTGTAAACAAGTGATGACTGAGGTTCTTTGTCCTGTGTCCTCCTGTCTAGGAAAAGGGAGGCTCCAGCACTTCTGGGAAGTGTCTCTATAGTGTCTCTATTCAGGGGAAAGCTTGATAAATAACAGCTTATGAGCGACAGTTTTGCTGCCTTCTGTGGGACTGGTTTCCTTGCAGAGATGCGGCAAAGGGGGCAGCTCGTGGGACCAGAAGAACTGGACTCTGCAGGCAGTGCTGATGGCGGGTTTTTAACCATTTCAGGTGAAAAGCTGATTGAAGGGCAAGTCATTGAACTTGAAGATGGGACCACAGCTTATATCCATCAGGTGACGATTCAGAAAGGTGAGGACCATAAATGCACCTCTTTGTTTTTAGAAGGACGATGTAGATGTCACTGCAGTTGTTGTGTTCCAGCAGTCGGGCTCCTCTATTGGCTGTGGCTTTAAGAAGTTCACGTAGGTGCAGGGTGTTGTTTTTCCTGCCCATGGTTTTGAGGTGGAATGAGCAAGGACGGAGAACGTGTGATTTCCTGCAGAGTTTTCAGCAATCTGACCAGAAGGCAAATTTGTTGGTGGTGTAAGCAAATGGTATAGCGTGGTTTCACCTGCGGGCGTTCTCACAGTTGTCTCGCAGGTCTACAAGCAAGGCCAGTAAGCCGTGTGCTGTGTTTGTGCCAATTAGAGCCCAAACAAAGTTTGTTTTACGTGGGAGCAGTTGGACAGGATTTTCCTCTGAAGTGTGAGATAGTATATTTACTTCTGGAATAAGTGTTTGGGAGGGGGGATTGTTGGAAGCAATGCCACCTTGTTCATTGAGCCGTCAGCCAAGGTCACCTCCGAAATGAGGTGACAGTCTGAGAGATGATGGGAATTCATTTCATGTGGCAGGCACCGGAGTGGCACAGAGGGATCCTCCCTGACCATGATAAGATGTAAAAGGGCAAGTAGAAAGAGCTCTGTTGCTTTGGGCAGTTCTTCCTTCACCCTCCCAAGCTCCTTGTATGTCACCTCCCTTTTCTGTTCTTAAAAGGTGGCTTGAAACTCACTTTGTGTGCTTGGCTGTGCCCCCTTCCTCGCTGCATCCTCTTCCCTGCCTCCACAGTGAGAGGGGGTTTTCCTTCTCGCCCCTGCTCCCCCTGCCATGGGATGTTTGTGTTCTCCTTTACACGCCCCTGTGGCAGAGCTGTCCTTGTCTGAGACATAATCTGTCATTTTGGAATTCATGAGGTACTGCATCACCCCAATAAGCTGAAGGAGTGTGGTGAAGCTATGCACGAAGCCTTAAAAACCTCATAATTCATGTCAGAAGGGCTCAAACGGTGTCTTAAAACCTACAGTTGTGGTTGACTTTCAGTGCAAGCAGGCAGCCCTGCTGTCTCCTCTTCTGAGGGTGGGAACACTGTAGGGTTCAGGATCGGACGTGGTATCCCCTCCATCCCATCTGAGCCTTCCAGTAAGGTGTGTGGATTTTTTTTTTTTTGCCTTTTCTTTTAGAGTCTGTGACTTTTGAAGACGGTCAGCCAGTGGTGTTGGAAGATGGCAGTACGGCCTACATCCACAGCACAGCTAAAGGTAAGGAGTCTTCCCTGTTCTTCCCTGGGCAGCTGGAGCTGCCCTTGTAGCCCAGGGAGATGGAGTGCCTCACGCTCTGCAGCTCTTTTACCTTTGATTTTATTCCTTTCCTCTTGCAGAAAGTTATGACTCCAGCACCTTCGAGGCCGTCCAGCTGGAGGATGGTTCCACTGCCTACATACATCGTCCTGTCGTCGTGCCACCTGGCAGCACCATCCTGGAAGTGCCGGCAGGAACTGGGCTGGAGGAGCTGGCTGGGGAGGAGGAAGGTGATGCCTTTGATGTGGAGACCAGGAATGCGTTACAGCAGTACGGCGGCAAGGTGAGGGCGCAGCGCTGCTTTCGAGGTCTGCCAGCAGCACGGAGGGGCTGGTGTTAACAGTCCATGTTTGGCCCGAGGTTTGAGCGTCCTCCCTTCATTAGTACAGCTGTACATTTATTTTTCAGCAGTGCCAGCTTTGAGAAGAGAAGCTGGACAGGGCTGCAGTGCGAGTGCCACCACTGGCAGGTGGCTGACAGTCAAAGACCTAGAACGGGGCAGTTTCCTGCTGGACCCTCTAGCTCGTTCCTACAGTGCTGGGCCTGCTGCAGGCACAGATTTGGGGAGAGCAGAGAGCTTGGACTTTTTGTTCCTTGCTGTAAATGCCCATCCATGTAGGTGTGTTCTTCCTGTTTGCCTGGGTTTCTCAGAATGCCACCTGGGTACGATGCTCTCTCCCACAGATTGAGGCAGCAGATCAGGACTAGCCTTTTGATGTCAGGAGTCACTAAGTTATGGCCGCTGTTCCCCGTGTTGACAAAGGCCTCAAAACCCCAAACACCTTCACCTCCTGACGGGCTGTCGCTGCAGCACTCCATCTCAACGGCCTGGTGCTGCCGTTTTCTCCCGTCTCCGTGGTGCTGTGTGAGAAGGGGCTCCCAGGAGCGTGCTGGTACAGCGCTCACCTGGGCAGCGTTCAGATTTGTCCATGGAGACCTTCCTGCTGTGGTAGGACCAGCCTCCCCTAGCTCTCCAGAGAAGGTTGTGCTGGCACTGTAGATGGGAATGCTTTCCTGCTGGGGTGGTTCACTTGTTCCACGCTGTTCAGGGAGGCGTGAACAGTGCCCGTGCTTCTTTACCTGCAGGTGTCTGAAGAGGAGGAGGAGGAGGGAGTGACGGACACCTGCCGTACGAAGAGCGATGACTCCAGCGACGTCCCTTCCCAGGTCTGAATTTTTCAGTGGCGCATTTCTGAAACTAGGCTGAACTCCGGTGGATGCAGAGCGCTTTGCCACCTCGTAATTAAAAAAATCTTTGTGGCTTCTCTGCAAGGTTAGCAAATAGATTAGCTGTGAGTTTACAGGTGAGCTCAGTGAAGCCCAAAGAGGTGTCTGAGAACACCCTGGGAGGTGGGAACGGGAAATGCTGGTTCCTAGAGCTCTGCCCTGTCACCGGGGTTTTACCCCGTGTGCACAAGTTGGGTTTGTAGGAACACGTTTTTGTGAGGATAACTGACGGAGGGCGTGTGTATGGCGAGGAGGGAGACGGTTTGTGCGGGCTTTGCCGAGCCTGCTGTGCTGAATTCACTTCCATTTGTCTCTCGGCAGGATTTGCAGGAGGAGGAAGTGCCCAGCGAGGAGCAGGGGCAGGCGGTCAGCAGCAGAGCTTTCCGTTGTGGGCACCAAGGCTGTGGCCGCCTCTACACCACCGCCCACCATCTAAAGGTAAAGAGGTCCCACGCGGCGTGCAGGCCACACGTAGCCCCGTGCCGCAGCTATAGAAAAGGCCGAGTTGTGTGCTTGGCTCCCCGAGAGATCCAGGCGTGTTCCTTGGCCAAGGTGAAACCCAACAGAGAACTTCAGAGTCTCCCCACCAGCCGGGTTTCTCCACGCTGTTTTCCTTCCTCCTTGGACCTCATTTTAGGGACCTGTTCTTTCTTTTCCAGGTACACGAACGTGCTCACACAGGTGACCGACCGTATACGTGCAACTTCCCAAGCTGTGGGAAAGCGTTTGCTACAGGTAACAACTTCTCTTTTGAGCAAATTTTGTTTTCTGTCCAGTCCAAACAACTCTTGAGTATCAGCCCTGGCTTTTTTCCAGCAGAGCCCAATGAGCAGAGCTTTTAAAGCCTTCTGAGAAGGAACTGCAGCATGGGGGACTGCCTGGGACTTCATTGATTATGGGCAGATTAAAGGAGTTACAGGAAGAAGCTGAGTTGTCAGTGGTGTTGTGAGGCTGTTTGGATATTTCTTCCCCTTTGGCTTTGCAGACACAGGACGGACGTTCGAAAATGCACCATCTGCGAGGTGGGACGCAGCTTGCCGTGGTATTTCCTTCTTGTAATGAATTGTGGTTGCTTTCCTGGGCAGGGTATGGGCTGAAGAGCCATGTGAGAACACATACTGGTGAGAAACCATACAAGTGTCCAGAAGATGTGTGTAGCAAAGCCTTCAAAACCTCCGGAGATCTCCAGAAACACATCCGGACGCACACAGGTGAGCAGCACAGAACTGAGCTGCCCATTGAAAGGGTCCTCAAGATAAAGTGCTGCTTCAGCCTTTGTCCAGGACATTTTTGAGTTCTGGTGAAGCAAGGCAGAACTGAAGCTGTCTTCAGGCAGAAGTAGGTGGGTGGTTGAAGTAGCACAAGGGATTCTCGAGACTGTTACAAAGAGCAGAGCAAAAGGGGCAGGAATGTCAGCGTCGCTGGAGGAAACGTGCCAGCAGGTGGGTGTGATCTGGGGTCTCATTCTTGGAATATTGTGGAGGAGCGAAGGGGTACGGGTGTCCAGGGCATTCCAAGTAGCCGTGCTGCAGCAGGATTGTCATCCCCTTTCCTCCCCACGCAGGTGAGCGTCCCTTCAAGTGCCCCTTCGTGGGCTGTGGCCGCTCTTTCACCACGTCCAACATCCGCAAGGTTCACATCCGAACGCACACGGGCGAGCGGCCGTACATGTGCCCGGAGCCCGGCTGCGGGAGAGGCTTCACCAGCGCCACCAATTACAAGAACCACATGAGAATCCACACAGGTGAGAGAAGGAGAAGGTGAAACGCAGACAGCTCCTGCCTGCGCTGACAGCGTGGGGCAGCAGGGAAATCTGTGGGACTGAAAGGGTCATTTCCAGGCCAGGCATGGCGGGGGTGGATCTGGGGGTAGCCAGGGAGTTAAAGGAAATCGGAATTGCTTTATTGGGCTGATTATTGTTGCACTGGTTTGTCTCCAGCTCTTCCCTCTCGATGGGGAATCCCTCCCCAGAGCATGAGGCGGGGGGGGGTGAGTGGGTGTCTTGGTTTGAAAGACAGGTGTCT